TTTCAGTGCTGTCTACCTACCCCACCTCCTTCGTCTCTCCTCCCCCATTCATCTGTGTATGTTGTGTACGGGGCTGAGCACCTTCTTTGTATGGCTCAGACCCCACCATCTCACGATTGTATGTGTGTGGAGTGATGCTATGTGAGTCAGTCTATGTGAGTCAGTCTATGTGAGTCAGTTCGTTATCAGACTTCCGCTGCATAAATGCTCATCCTATATTGGTTGATCTTTGGTTCTGCCCATACTCATTGAAGTATGTAACACCAGGCATGTGTCCAGGAACGTGGCAATACAGTATTTTCCTCCTGCTGTACCGCCCATCTGGTTCCACACATGCAAGGCACTTTTCCACCAGCCCCGCCATGTCAGTTTGCTGCCATGTCAGCAGTGGCCATACCACCTCAATAATGGCATCCTGCCACACAAGCAATTGCTGCCTGCCACGTCAGTGATGGAGGCCTGTCAGCGTGGCACGTCTTCAAGGAGGTCCGCCACGTCAGAACAGTGCCTGCGTCTTCTCAAATTGCAGCATGTCACGACAGCAGGTGGTGTACACGATGTGCACGTGCCAGCCCCGTCAGCAGGTGGTGTCAACCTTTGTGCCTGCCTCAGCAGAGCTCCACTGTCTACGTCAGCAGCTGGATGTGTGCCGCATCAGAAACTGCACTTGCCACGTCGGCAAGCCGTGACTACATCAGCAGCCAGAAAGTGCCACGTCAGCACTCCCTCTTCGTCTCGCCAGTCTCTATCTGGTGCCATGTCAGCAGCATGCACTGCCACGAGGCACTATGAAGCTCCTCGCTAGTGGTAGAGTATCTCTTTGGCAGCAATAATCAAAATGCCGCACATCTCCTTCCATGGTGGACACCTCTACATCATCATGGTCATCATCATCATCCCACTCGTAGCCATCATCAGCAGGCAGCAAGGTAAGCGGAGAACGCTCTGATACCAAATTGTAATGAACCCAGTCTCGTTGAGAAGCCAGTCAGCAATGCAATACAAGTCTGAATCCAGCACACATCATAAAGTCTCCAGAGTCGACTTCAGGTCCATGTTCCGATTATATGCACAACACCAATATAATGACAGAATCTTGATTATTGAAGAAAACAAATGAAATAAAATAAATAAGAATATAACTATGAGATCAAATATAATAGAAGATAGAATAAAGAATATAGTAAACAAATCATACAATATGATAATACGTATATATACGTATTATCTTTTTTTTTTATTATAAGGTACCCAACGTGAGCTGCCCCGCTAGCGGGGCTACACTCACGAGGGGGGCCCAACCCAGGGTGTTGTAGCGGTCGAGTGTCTTGACCAGACAGGCCAGCCCTCAGTCCTTGCCCATTCAGGTTGTCCGGAGAGCATATTGGGCACACTACTATCTATCCCGTAGTACCGAGTTTCCCAATCCTCACCTATTCTAACCCCATCGCGAGTTGAACCTACGGGCCTGCAACCACACTCGATGGTATGCAGGCATGCTTTTTTACCTAGCGAGACACCTAAGACTAGGACACCCCCCCAGGCACATTTTTACCATAGGCACCCCGGACCAGCCGGGGCTCGACTAGTCCGCAGCCAAGCTGCTTACGTATTATCATATTGTATGATTTGTTTACTATATTCTTACTTACTTCACTTGTTCTCATCAAAGAAGAGCATGTGAGAAAGAGAAAGAGGAGAGGAAAGACAGAGAAGAGGAGGATGAGAGTCGCAATCATAATCAACAGTCCACGTATGTCTCTCTCCTTTCGCACTTCCACTTCCGGCCTCTCCCCTTTCACCACCTAAGCAATGCAGGTTATCCTCTGACATCCTCTGACATTATCACTGTGCAGGTCGTTACAGGGCACCCATCCTCCTTCCACGTCAGCAATAAGATAGGGAGGATGGTGCAGCACTTCCTCACCTTCGTGGAGACAATCAGCAGATCACACGTGTCGATGCCAGGTAAGTCCAGGTAAGCTTCCCCTCATCTCCCATCAGTCTCACAGCCCTGATCCTCCTCCCCCTCGCCAGTCCTCATCACCTAGTCGACATCTACGGCATCTATGTCCGTGCCAACATAATCTCCCTCTAGGCTGGTTCCCCCCAGCAGCATCTGGTGCCAGCATCACACTCCAGCAGCCTCGCGTATCAGTACTAGCATCAAGCCAGCGCAAGGCAGAATGCCTTCCCCGAAGGTCTGACTGAGCTTACGTAGCGTTGACCAGCTTTGACTGGCGTTGACCAGTCTTCCCGTAAGCCGTGTCGACGCTTCAGATTTGCCAGATCTTGATGGCCTGGATGCAGCCTTGAAGCAGCGGTAACTTTTCTCAGTCGGAACTGGAATCTTCTGGATACCTGCAGACAAGCATTGATGTGCATCTGATCTATGGCCGAGGCTGACTACAGGGTTGACTTTGACTTTGGGCCTGCCTTTCCCGTACTGGTCTGAATCTTGATTTTCCAAGAGAACCAACTCACATTTGGGCTCTGGCGGCTGTTTTTGACGCAGGCCTTGATACAATGACCCTAGGTTCTCTCTCGGACAGTTTTCAGACTTGGGATGTGACTTTTGGCCCTTGTTTCTGGCCTTTGACCCAAAGTGACGACCCTAGCCCGCGGCTGTATGTCAATGAACTGGGTTTATTACAAATCATTTCGCCAACGAATGACCATTCACTTATCTGATTATCATGATGGCATACAACATTCAGAAGACGCAGATGTTACCATGACTGCAACAAGGATGCAAAGTGAAAGAACATTACCCATATGAATAGAGCGTGATCTCTGCAATGAGAGCATAATCAGGCACCATCATTGCCACTGTCCTGAAAAGTGCCTTCAGGTTGTCAGGAAGCTCACTTCTTCCGGCATAACCAGGGTTCATTGTGATAAAAACACTGCATGTCTCCTGCAGTGATAGCTTTGTCCCTTCAAATTCAAAGGTCCTTAGTCTTGCGGCCTTTGCCCTCTGAATTGTCAGAATCTGTTGCGCAATCACACTGAGGACCTGCCATGTGATCACACAAATGTTATTGCTGTGAATTTGTTTTCGCCCTGTTCAGTATGTGCAGCCGTGGGCCTGTGCTCAGAGCTTGCAACTAAAGTTCCTTTCCTGCCCCATCCCTTTATAACAGGCTTCCTGTGGCTTTCGTGCTTTTTGTTTTTCGTACACCTTTTTTCATTAATAAAACTGGAAATCCGCTCCACTGTCCCTTACATCAGCTAAATACACCACACTTCCCTCCATTCTGGTTGAGGGACACTGAGACAGCCACATTGATTACTTCCTGTAGCGGGAAGAATGTACTGCAGCTCCACCCCTGCTTTCCTTGGCATTGCCCAGGACTCTCTCTGGGGGGATCCCCCTCCCTCTTCCCTTGTAGATCCCAAACGCATCTACCAATTTGAAACTGTGTCCAGGAATTCCCTCTGCAAGGAATATGAAAGAGAGCGAATGACAGAAAACCGAAGTGCATCATCACATTGAAAACCGGATAGTCGTGTGTCGCACAGAAAGAAGAATGCACCAAATACACACCAAATAGGATCAAAGCAATGAACTCAATTGTCAATGTCAGCCCCTCATTTGTCACTATCCACAATGTATCCAATGCCGCTCTTCCACATGGCGCCTGGCGCCCAACTACAGACTCATAACTCCTATGCTAGCCTACACTTGGATGATACAACCAGAAGCACTTCAGCAGCGGACTGATGTACATGAAGACGTCGCCTGTACAGGCCTCCACGACACACCAGGTACGTCCTTCTCTCCCTCACGGTTCATCCACCGGCATGCAGAGTGAGAAGCCCGGCTATGGCTGCCGCTCTCCTGGCGGTGCCCAGCAGCCTTCCACCACATGCCTGTGTGCAGCCTCCTCTCCCAGCCACCACCCTGCGTCAATGAGCATGCAGCCTGGCAGCGCTCACAGAAGGGGCCCCCAGAGTACGGACAGGGTCAAAAGTGTAAATATGGGATAGTCATCCATGGTGACTAGAAGCACAGGTAAGTAGCCTCCATCTCCTCACCACTTAGACCTACCCCCTACCACTAATTACTAACTCTCGAGTGGGTCTGACTTCTGAATACCCTTCCCACAGTGTCTGCTGCCTTCTTCTTTTCAAGACTATATATATATATTGTCACAGAACTATTCACTAAGACCGCAAGCACGTGAAGTAGAAGGAGAAATAAGATGAGCGAAGAAAAGAAAAATGAAAGGATAGACAGGCAAAGAGACAGACAAACCAGAACGTCACAGAACAATGTCCTCTTATTCTTCGTTTCACTGTATCCTGAAGAAAGGATAAAAATAAAAAACAAAAGCACATTGAAATCATTCAGTTTCTCAGTCTTCTTAACGCCTCCTCCATCGTGCCTCTAACGTACAAGGCTCGCCACGTTGATGAAGTTGAGCGCGAGCTGCCCCCATCCCCGTATGCCATAACAGCCCACTTGCACGCTATGGGAAAGAGGCAGAGTGAAGGAAGAGGTGTTAAACACAAGGAAGAGAGGAGCAGACAGGGTAACCAGCAGGCAGAGGGAGAAAAAAAAAAACAAAAAAAAAAAACGTTGACACAAACATCTTCTTTCTTTTTACTGCATTCTTCTTTTTTGCAGTTTTGGTGAAGAGTCTACCACGTTCGGTTTTCAGCGCACCTGCACTTCCTTCTTCATTTTACAATCTCATTTTCACCCTTTGGACTTTTCTTTTTAGGGTGTTAGGGTGCAGGGTACAAACAAAGTAAAATGACACAGACTTATATTCTTCTTTTACTGCAGCATTCTTCACTGTTTTGCAGTCTAGTGAAGGGTTCCCCACTTTTGCACATTCTTGTACACTCTTTTCAGCGCACCTGCACATTTTTGTCAAGGTGCAAGGAACGTCTAAGTAAGGCCCTCACGACAAATAGGACAACTGTCATAAGGATGCGGGCGATGGTAGCAGCCCTCCCGCTGATCCATAGGACGAAAACCATTCAGGTAAGCAACTTTGTCACAGCAGGAGCCAGGGCGGCTAGCATTAACCATACCTCTGAAGCATGCACAACAGAGGGCATGCCGGTTGCAGGCCATGACGATTGTGGGGCGTTCACCATCACAGTTTAGTGCTCATTCACTATAGCACCCGCAGGCACAGATGGGACATACTGCATCTGGATGTAGAGGATGTTCACAATCCGGATACAGGTGGCATCCCTGCCGACAGCGGGCCCGAACAATTATATGGTTGTAGTGATGTCGACAAAGTCGATGTTTTCCACAAGCAAGTGTAACTGTGTCAGTGATCTCACAAAGAAGGAGGTCACAAGGTGTTAGTGCAGTATGTGGGGGAATAAAGACTAAAGCAGGCACAGTGACAGACGTGGAGGTAGGCACGGAGACAGACACAGAAACGGGCATGGAGACAGGTGTGGAGGCAGGCACAGAGGTAGCTGCAGAGGCGGGGATGGAAGTACATATGGTACTGATAGAGTCAGTAATCTGGAAGGAGTCAGACACCGAAACAGGCACAGAAACCGGCACAGAAACAGGCACAAAGACAGGTACGGAGGCAGGCACAGAGACAGGCATGGAGGCAGGCACAGAGATAGGCGTAGAGGCGGGCAGGGAAGTACAGGAGGTACCCATAGGGTCAATGACCTGCAACAGTTGCAGGTTAGGGTAATGACGCACGAGATCAGAGATGGCGGTAATTGTTTGCACCATAGCACCGCCATTCCATAATTCCCAAGAACCTGAGGCACGGACAAGAGCGGTGTAGTGGCTAGGAGTATGTAGAATATAGGCACAAACGCGCGAACAGTGGTCCGGGTTGCCACCTGAAGGGGCACGCTGCACATCAAGCCGGCGCCTTATCAAAGCAGTCTCCAAAACCGAGACATTGAATCCCCATGTCGAGTGTAATTACTATCCTGTGGGGGGTGCAAAGACGGGTTATCACCATATAAATCACGTTCCTGAGCATCAAGATTGGAAGCAATGGCCAAAAAATCAGAGTGAGTATATGGTTCTCGATGATAGGCTTGTAGGCAGATGTTAGTAGCAGCGAGGCCGCACAAATTCGATGGAGGCCGGTCAGGGGGATTTTCTACAGAATCTCTTATAGGCCCCTTGCCAAGTTCATCCTCGGACGGTCCCTCGTCATCATCACTCCTATTTTGTGTTAGCCGCGTTGCAGAAAGATCTGCAGTCGAAGAGCGTTGCAGGCATGATAAGGACACTTGCGGCGGCAAAAGACGGGGACAGGATGTTGGGAAGGGCCGTGGCGGGGAGAATGAACGGCTTCTTCTTCGTCCAAGAATAGAGATGGAGGAAAGGGGAGTAAGGTGAGGTTGGGAAGTAGGTCGAAACCGGCGTCTAGGACGACGAAGTGGGCTTTCTGCAGGTGAAGAACATGATGACGGAGCCTGTGTGGATGAGGTGGTTTGTGAATTAGGAAGAGGGGTAGCGGATGGCGGTATAGTAGTCGGAAGGTGGGTAACAGACGGAGATCAAACCAGGGGAAGTAAAGGCGGTGAAGTTGGGAAGGATGAAGTTGGGGGTGGTGATGTGGCCGAAGCGGACACAGCGGGGGCAGTCGCAGGTGAGACCCGAAGAGGGGACTCTGCAGGTGGTAATGCAGGCATGGCCACAGATGCCATGAAGGAGCACACCAAGACCGAGGGCAACACAGCAGCTGTGTATTTTTTTTTTTTTTCCCTTTTTTTTTTCTGATGCTGACTGGTTGCTAGACTCAAAGCAAATCGAATATGTCACAAGACTTGGACCAGCCCAGCAGCAGCGACACCAAGATGTGGAATGTACCAATCACCAAAACACTTCAACAAGCAATACAGGGCTTAGGGGGGGTGATTCGCTTCACTTCAGGGCACGTTCCGTTGATGAAGCTCCACAATCGCTCCAATGCTCTAACACAGCAGGTACGTAGTTACCAACCCAACTGGCCACTTCTTCTTCGGCCTACCTTCCCCTCTTCGTCAGACTTCTCCCCACCCAGTTCTCTCTCTTGCCGGCCTTAATTGTTGCCAGCGATATACAGTGGATGCAGCAAAATTTTCCTCTGATACCAGTTTGCAACGAACCTCTCAGTTCACCACCAATGAGCACACACAAACACACAAACACACACCATGCACAAATGAGATCACACGAAGTTCACTCTGGAGGCCAGAGAGTCGAAGACCAGGTAAGCGCAGCTTAAGAATTCCAACAAATTATCATATGAGCAATTAGGATTTCCAGTCACAAGCGCTCAACAGGGCAGATCCAAGTAACCAGTATCATCACTCAGGTAAGTATCTCGCCCACTACTGTTCTCTCTTCTCTCTTGGTCTTCTCTCTGTCTACTACCTCCCTGTGTCTTCTCTCCCTACTTGCATGCACTCATACTCTCTGCTACCAAGGACCAACTCCGAATACAACCACTGCTAACTCTACTAAGTCTCCTGGGGTCAGATACTAAGCACTGGCGCAGCTATGGCTGCTTCCATCTGGCAGCGCTGGGGCAGCTATGGCTGCTCCCTCTCTCTCCCTTTAACAGTGCAGCTCCCTGGCTCAGCGCTCCGCTCCTCACAATAGCGCACAAGTGCACCAGCACTTCCACACTTCATGTGAATGAGCATTCTCCCCGAACGGGGAGGCTAGCCAGTCCTTATTTTGTCTTGGACTGAGCTTCAACTTGTCCCAGCCTCTGCTTCTTGAGGCTTGACTTGGTTCTGGTACCACATCCCCACGGCCTGTTTGCTTTAGAATGTCAGGGCCTGGTACTTTTCCCGAATTTTCGTTGGTGTGCTGCTGCTTCGGCCTGGGAGTCACGACTTTTCACTTATGGAACATGACTTTTGACTCCGGGTTGTGACTCTTGCCACTGGGGCACGACTTTTGCTTGGGAAAGTGTCCTTTGCCTGCAGAACATGACTTTTCAGCATGACTCTTCAAAATGAGACGTGACTTTTGCCCCTGGTAGGTGACTGTTCACCGGGTGCCTGTTGGACCTGACTCCTAAGGTACCCGACTGTGACTTTTCTGAAACTGACCGACTTAGCCTCCCTGGCCTAAGACCTTGACCCTGAAATTCGAATTTGGGGTCTGAATTGTGGAAGGCCTTTCATCTTTCAGAGTCAGGTGATAAGGTAGTATGATGTGGTTATGTATAATACCTCCAGCTCAATTCGGTTGAATTCATCGAAGCAGGACCATGCCCCAGCACTTGCTAGCCCCTTGAAGAACTTCCCCATGGCAAGGTAGTCAAGGCCATCGGAGCAGTTAAAAACAATACACTGCATGGCAACCGCCTTTGCCAAGTCCTTTGTTGTCTCTGTCTTCCCAGTTCCAGCGGGACCCTCAGGTGCACCCCCCAAGTTCAAGTGAAGTGCCCCCGTCAGAGTCCGGTAGCATCGATCCGTGAGAGGGGTGATCACAAGCCTCGTGGTGTTTCCAAGATACTCGAACGCGTAATTGAGGCAGGCATTGATCATTTTCACCTGCAGGGAGCAAAGAACAACGAGAGGTTTTTGTCATCTTCACCTGGACAAGATGGGTGAGAAATAATGCATGGGGATGTGGCCAATATTGTTGATCAACAGTACCTTTGCCAGCTATTTGTGTAGAGGCGCACTGGGTAATGCGCTGGCCTGAAAAGGAATGGCGGCCACCAATAAATTGAATCGGCGGCAATTTTCGGGCCTGGGGAAAACCAACCAAAGGTGGATTTAAAACAGTAGGCTTGCAGTGCCCGCGGCCGACATATGGGAAAGGTACTGGTGGTTTAACAAGCCTGAAGCCACCAGAAAGCTGTTAAATTGCCAGTGGGTGTTTCAGCCTTTCCAAAAAGAGGGAACTGTGGATGTGTCACACTTTTAGATTGAAATAGGCAAGAACAGAGAAAGTGGAGCTGGAGTCATGGCTTGAGTTTTAAAATGTGCACTTTTAGTGTTGGTTTAAAATTGCACGAGTCAACAGCCGCTGTAGGGAATGCAATTTTAGGGCTGCCATTTTTGCCATTTTTTAGAACTGCTAAACTTGCGCATTCTGAACATCGGGTGCGACTTGAAACCACTTGCCCTTAAAAAAAGAAAAAGTATGTCGTTAAGATGCGGCTGTGGAAAGGCCCTGAGTGCCCATTGTAAAAATGGCTGGCAACGCCAGATGAATTCTCCATAGGACGGTTTGGATTTCTTGGGGCTGGGCGAAAATCAGCTTGGGGAAAAGAGGCTGGGAAGTTGTGGGAACTACTGGTGGCTTAAATCAGCAGTACCCCATGTGCAAGGAAAATGAGCAACAGCAGGATGACAAATCCAGATTACACAATCACATTTAAAGCCAGATAGTTACACCGTGTCCAGAGAGCAGCATTGCACCAATAATACACCAATGGAGGTTCGTAGTACTGAAAACCAATGTCACGGAGAGCTTTCTCTTTCCACACCAACACAAGAGTCCAGTCCCTTCACTCTCCTACTTGGCGCTCAGCGCCCAGCCTACCCCTACACAGCTATTATCAGCCTACTAATTGACCATGCAGCTGTTGACATCAGCGGCAACCCGAAGTACTTGAAGATGTCGCTCAATGCAGACCATCGCCAATACAAGGTATGTGCCCTCACATCATCATCATCATCATCCTTCACCCTTCCCTGACTTTACACCCACGTCTTCCTCCCTTACACCCGAAGACCACTCATGTGCCTCACTGTAGTCCAAGCCCACCAGCTATGGTGGCTGGGCTATGGCGCTGCCCTCAGCAGCGCCCTTCTTCCCTGCACGACCGCACGTGCTGCACCTCGCCGCTCAGCGCCAGCAGCAGCCCACGAGCCTTTGCTCCAGCAGCGCTGCCGCTAGCATGCGAGTGCCTGAATGAGGCTCAAAGTGGCCAGCTCTTTCCTATATGGAAAGAGCCTGCCTTCTTCGCAGCCTGGCTGGACTTGGCCTGGGCCCAGAAGCTTCCGGGAGGCCCCAGGATGCTGCGTGCTACTTTGCAGCTACTGGGCCTCTTTTGGTTGGGCCTCCCAACTGTCAGTGTATGAGGCTGCGTTTCTCGTCCACGGCCTGCATGCTGCGGAAAGGCCCAGAAGGCCGTGGAAATGTCTCGGTTGCGCGGCCTGTGTTTCACTCAACCAACTGGCGCGTCGCAACTGCCTGGACCCCAAATATGAAATTGACAGTCAAAGGCCTCTTGCGATAAATTATTCCCGCCTTCACTTAGGGCGGGCACCACTACGACCGGGGCCCCTTAGGCCTGCCGAGGACCCAAATCCTCACATTCCCTCCTCCTTTACTTCGTTAGTCCTCTGAGAAGTCTTCTTATTCTGCAGGCATCTTTCCTTTCAGTTCTCTTTCATAGCCCGCAATCACTTGAGGTGTTGTTCTCAGGAGTTCTTCTCGTGTGAACCAGCGATCTTCCTTGGGATCCAAATGATGTCTGAATCTCACACGATACTGCATTCTCGGTTTAGGAGGGCGCCCTCTGCCTGATGATCGAGGAATAGGCATCACTTGATGGAAGTTGATGCTCCACGATCTCGTCGATGTCCACCTCTCCATCCATGGTTGGGGGCAGCATTGATCTCCTTAAGGGAAACTGGTCAGTAGCAGCGAAAGGTGCCAACTTAGAGGCATGGAACACAGGGTAACTGCGTAAGTGCGCAGGAATACGAATCACGTATGAAGGCCCATCCGGTTGATCCCCTACAATGTCCAAGATCTCCCAGGGCCCAAAGTACTGTGGCATCAGCTTTCGTGAAATCCCCATCTCCTGACCCAGTTCAGATGACTTTACCCAGACTCGATCACCTACCTGAAAGTTAGAAGGCCGTCTGTGTTTATTCTCGGATGCGATCATAGCCTCCTGAGACTTCCTAATGTGTTCAACGGCCTGCTGCAGCATCTGCTCATATTTAACAACAAATTCTATGCTGCCAGGTGCTACAGTGGGTTGTCTTTCTGGTAGCAGAAAGTCAAGTGCAGTTTTGGGCTTCCAACCAAGGTGCAGCTGGTTGGGGGTCATCCCAGTAGTATTGTGCACAACATTGTTGTACAGGCTGGCGGCGAGAGGTAACTTCTCGTCCCAGTCATCCTGACTTGGCTTAATATAATGCCGAAGCAGGTGCTGTACTACCCGGTTCATCTGTTCTGCTTGGCCATTTGACTCAGGATGGTTCCCTTACGTCGTTTGGAGCTTGGTACCCATCTGTTCAATTGTCGACTGCCACAGTTCGCTGGTAAACCTTACATCCCTGTCACTTACTATTGACGTAGGTAGTCTGAAATCTCTAACCCAGTTATCCAGAAACAGTTTGATGACATAGTCCGTTTTAGCAGTTTCTGGCATAGCGATCAGTTTAGCATACTTAGTAAAGCGGTCCACTATTACGAAGATGTGCCTTTTTCCAGACTTACTGGTCACAAGAGTATCCATGAAATCCATGGACAGACTCTGCCCAGGTCCTTCAAGGATCGGCAAGGACTTGATGAGCCCAAGTGGAGCCTGAGTCCTAGGTTTGTCCCTTTGACAGACTTGGCAAGTTTCTACATACTTTTTCGCATCTTGCATCATAGTGGGCCACCAAAACTTCTGTACTAAGTTAGCTGAAGTCTTTTTATAACCAAAATGACCAGTTGCATCATAACATTCCCCTAAAAATAAACTACGCAAAGACTCACTCCTGGGAACACACAATCTTTTATTCCCTGCCTTCACAAGAAACAGCAAGCTGTCTACCATCGTAAATTAATCCAAAGTTTTTTTATCCTTGGTTTGAAATCTACGGATGATCTCAGACATGACTGGATCTTGCTGATAGGCATCCACCAATGATCGAGTTAAGTCGCTGGATATGCCAAATTCAGTCACTAGTGTGCCCAGATAATCTGCCCGACGAGATAGTGCATCAACTACTTTGTTGTACTCACCCTTGATTGGATCAAGTTGATAGTCATACATATCTATCACTTGTATCCATCGCTTGAGTGTGTCGGAGAGTACCGACCGTGTCTTAATCCAGCGCAAGGTCTCGTGGTCAGATCTCACATAGAAGAATCTGCCAAGGAGATAGTGCCTCCAATGTACCAGCGCTCTATATAGGGCATAGAGCTCACGCTCGTAAGTGGACCTGGCTAGTTTCTTATGGCATCTTTGTACTCATATACTCGATCGGTCTCAACTTTTTCCCCTCCTTTTGCGCAAGGACTGCACCTATGCCATATTGGTTGGCGTCTGTGGTCACGACAAAGGGCTGGTCAGGATCCGGGAGCTTGAGGACTTCATAATGTGTTAGAGCATACTTCAATTTCTTGAAAGCTGCCTCACACTCTTTTGTCAATTCCCAAGGGGTGTCAAGTCGAGTTAGATCTGTTGGGGAAGCTATAGTACTATAGTTCTTCACAAACGGACGATAATAGTCCGTCATCCAGTGTTGCACACCCCGACGGTCGGCGGCCCTTGACTGGTCGGCTGCCGACCCGCCGACCGATCGGCTGGTCGGCACCTACCAGTCGGGGATCATCGAC